GCCCCCTGCCCCTCCCCTCGCCCCCTAAAAAAAAAAGAAAAAGGAAAAAAGAAAGTACATTGTGTATACTTATCATTGTTTTCCATGCCTACATCACTTTTAGACCTCCATGAAAACAAGGCCTCACGCTCCATCATTTGATATTTACTTATGGTTAACGATTTGTGCTACAAGATAAAATGAGACCTACCTACCAAAAATTTGAACCATTGAGGATTTTGGATTTGACACGTCATCAAAATAATGGGAATTTAAATCATGATGGATTTTTGTTTCTTTTTCTTTTTGGTAAACAATGATGGGTTTCTTTGTTGATCTTGACTACTGTTCGGTTTGTGGGTTTTGGTTGGATTTGAAATTAAATGTCAGGTCGATTTTATATTAGGTTTGAAAGATTGTTTGAATTTGAAATCCCGTAAACATGTAAGTTGCCTTCTATGCGAATAAGCTGCAAGTAAACAACCTAAAAGAACTGTGCGGATAAGCCAGTCACACCCATTAAGCTCATTAAGCCGCAAGTAAACACTTCCATATGACTCGAAAGAATAACGAACTTTTTGGTTTATGGGTTTTGGTTGGATTTGGAATTTAATTTTTATAATATTAAAAAATCTATTTTTTATAATAATAATAATAATAATCAATAATAAAAACATAGTTAAAGATGTATTTGATATATAAAATAATGAAAATAATAATAATAATAATCACTTTTTTCATAAAATATAATTAATTAATTTCTATAATTAATATATCTTTCAAATAAAAATTATTAAATAAATGTTTTGTACACTTAAGTAGTTTTAATTTCATATGTTTTATAATCTTTAAACACAAATTTTATTATTTTAATATTTTTAAGATGGCATAATATCTGGTTGTTAAATGACATGGATAGGAAATAAATCAGCTACAAACCTTTACTTTTCGCTTAACCCAGATGTAAAGTAGCCAACGTTCCAACACCAGTCGGAGCTCGAGTGGGATCCATGGAATTAATTGATCAACTCGAAGAAAGAACCGGTAGGTAGAGAGATAGAGACGAAACACAAGTACATAACAAAAATGTATTTTGAGATCAGAGAACAGAAAATGTTTTTTTCGTATCTGTGATGATTGTTGAAAATGGCAAAGGAGGGGTTGGACGAAAAGGGTGGGGTTGCCAGTCAGACGATTTCAACATGACAACATTCTATAACTTTAATAGCAGGGGACGGACCCAATGTATAAGATATGGTGGCATACGTCACTATTTCGTTCTTTCGTCGTAAGAGAAAAAAAAGTTTTGGATCGTGAAAGTTGTCACACCGTATATACAATAATATGAGTTTGTACCAAAGAGCCTTTTGGCCTAGTTATATGTGAGTCTTTGACCCCCTAGAAGGTTAAAGGTTCAAATCTCATTGAAGGTAAGAAGTGTGTGTGAGTTTATTTATTCTATTTGTCGTATATAATTATTATATGCTTCAAAGTTTGTCTTAGCAGAGTTGGGTTGGATAGCTTTTTTCCTAGTGCATGCGGGTTCCGATCTTGTTTCAATCATTTTCTCAGTTTTTATCTATTAATTTCAGATTTATTATGTTTCTAACTTTTTTTTGCGATGAAAGACTTGAACACAGTACCTCACATACGAAAGTAAAGAACTAACCAATTGATGAATGATGATTTAAAAAAAATGCATAGCTTCTTTTCTTTATAGTCAAATGATGTTATTACTTGAAAAAGTTTATAAACCTGCTTCTGTTCAACAGATTATGGGGTTTTTACACATACAAGACACGCACCAGATGGTAGGTAGGTTACGAGCAGAAGAAGAGAAATAGAAGCATGTTAAAATTACATTTATGCCCTTTGTCTTTTTTAATATAAAAACCCGTTAAATTAAAGTTACAAGATTAATTGTGTTAGATCTGATGGTTGAAATTGGTTCCAACGTTTTTCAAACATTTGTTTTTGTCTCATGTAGCCTATATATGTTTTCCCCGCTCGATAAATTTAAATTACGAAACTGAAAATTCGAATCCTCAATTCTTTTCCAAATTTATTATAGAATGAATTACATTTTTGTCCTTATGGTGTACAGTTATTATCGAGTTTGGTCTTTCTTTTAAACTAATTAAAATTTTGGTCACTGTCGTTGCCATTTTGTTTCACTTTTGGTTTTTCTAACTCTAGTTAAAAATCTAAGTTAACCTTTTGTCTTTTTCTATTTTTGTTTTATTTGACCTTAGAGTAAATCGTCCTCATGTTTTTGTTGCTACGTTCTCAAGGGAACCTAATCGTAATTTTATATTCTATTCCTCATAAAATAAGTGTATACATTACTATTTTAATTTGTCTTAAATTAAGTATCCACTTTTAAAAGTTAATATTTATTTTTCTATTATACCCTTAATTATGAGATTGGGTGTGCAGTAATCAATGAAAATAAAAATAAAAGTACAAGAAACTGTTTGGTATTATATAATATAACAAACTCATTTCATTAGAAGCCAAATTCGTCCTTTTTAATTACACACACACACACACACACATATATATATATATATATATACATACACTTGGAATCACGTGATATCAAATTGTTTTCATGAAACCCGTGAGACAATTTATTTACATTTGAAACTTCACATTAAAACGCTGTGAAAGTAATTTTCACAGTGGTTTTGTTGTGAATGTTCAATTTTTTTTCTTCATAGCGTTTTGCTGTGAAGTTTCAAGTGTAAAAAGGTTATCTCATGAACCTCACGAAAACATGCTTGTGTTACGTGAACCCACTCCCCTGTGTGTGTGTGTGTATATATATATATATATATATATATATATACGGATAGAGTAGTGAAAATTATGGGAGGGAGACTAAATTCAAATATATACTAAACAATAATATTTAATTTTTTATTAAATATTGAAAAAGAAGGTGATAGCATCCATGCGCAGAGAGCAAGGGTGACCCACTCCCACCCCCTTTCATGGCCATAGCTCCCATCCCAACAGCCGCCCACCTCAAAACTCACCCACCAATCTACCATTGTCTTTCCTCCTTTCTCCCAAGTTTTCTGGGAATTACACTCTGCCATTTCCACTATCCATTCTCAATTTCTTCATCCATTCCCTTTTCCTTCTCTCAATTTCAGAAACAATCCGTGTGTTGAAGAGATAGGGATAAGATCGATTGAGGGACATGGGTGGGATGACATCATCAATGGCGGCGAAATTCGCTTTCTTCCCGCCTAACCCACCTTCATATAAGCTAGTAAAAGATGATCTCACTGGTTTATTGCTTCTTAGCCCTTTTCCTCATCGCGAAAATGTCGAAGTTCTCAAATTAACCACTCGTCGTGGATCGGAGATTGTTGCTATTTATGTGAGACATCCCATGGCTACTTCTACTGTCCTTTATTCTCATGGAAATGCTGCGGATCTAGGTCAGATGTATGAGTTGTTCATTGAACTCAGTATTCGATTAAGAGTTAATCTCATGGGGTACCTTTTTCTATCTCGAAAACCCTTTTATTTCATCCTCTATCTGTGAATAATTCCCGCAATTTTCAGATTTAGAGACAATTCCATCACCATGAAACTGTGAATTACTATTCTATTAACTTGACTTTTTCTTGGGGTTTTGATAATTAGGGGTTTGTGGATGAAATTTTGTTTGATACTGTTGGAATTAATGAATCGCTTGAGAGGATTTTGATAATTTAATTGGGTGATTTATTGATTTTTGTTTCAATTGAGTAAAGGGTCTCTCGAATTTCTACTTGAAAATGTTTAGTTAAAACTTTTTTTTGGTTTTTATAATTAGCCAATTAGGGGTTTCTGGATGAATTTTTACTTGATATTGTTGGAACTAATGAAATCGTTTGAGAGGATTTTGCTAATTCAATTGGGTAATTTATAGATTTTTGTTTCAATTGAGTAAAGGGTCTCTTGAATTTCTACTTGAAAATGGTGGGTTATCAATTGAGTTCTTATTTGATGACAACATTTAGAATTATAGAATTGAAAACCATGGATTATGGAGGATGATCATCTGCCAGATAGGATTCATAGCAGAGTTTAATCTTTAGTGATCTTAAAGTTGTTTGCAATTCTAGATCTCAATGTGTTATCTTTTAGGGTTCTTTCAATTTGGTGATCGGATTATCAAAAAATGGAATCGAATTGCTGATTTCATGCTTTTTTTGTATTCAAATTGGTGTCAGAATCTTTATAGAAGGAACACTGATTTCAATTTGGTGCTTATACTTCAATCTTTGTTATGGACTTTTGAATTGAACATCAAGCAATTCGATTTGCAGCTTTACATTAAATATTGAATTATACAGTAGGCTTTAGTTAATGATCTTTATTAGGTGCACTCAATGCATTTTTTACTGTATATTGGACTTTTAGTTTTATAATAATTGTTAATAATAACATGAAATCCTATGAAATTGTGTTTTGCATACCCTTTATAAGGAACTTATGGGTACTTTCATGGTTCAATGAGATGAAATACAACGAAACCCGTATAACAATTACGTCGATTTGCTAAAGAACCGGTTGCTTACGCGGTGTTCTCTATGAATATGTTAAGTTCCCAATTACCCCTCTAGAAATGCTGTTATCGTCTTATTTACCATGATAATCTCTGAAAGTAGACCTATTGTTAGGGCCAGCTCAACTGATAGATAAAGGCGGGACCTTAGGGATCATTTCCATAGATCGTTAGTTAGTCTTCTCATCATGGGGATTTTCTTGGTTGTTTTCTTCAGGGCCCCATGAGATAAATCGAGGTGCGTGCAAGTTGGTCTGGACATCTACTGTTACAAAAAAACCATATATCCAATTAACTATGGGTACCGGCTCAATTGACAAATAAACGTCAGGCCTTGGGGCTCCTCTCTATAGGTTGCCAATCATAGATTCCTCAGGGTGGGGATTTTCCGGGCTATTTTCTTCAGGGCCCTATGAGATAAGTCGAGTTGCGCACAAGCTGACCTGGAGACCCATTGTTATAAAAAAAAACCATACATCCAATTAACCTTGAGGACCATCTCAATTGACAAATAAAGGTTAGGCCTTGTGGCTTCTCTTTATAGGTCGCCAATTATAGTTTCCTCAGGCCACAATAGATTTTCTTGGTCTTGGCTGTTATCTCAGGTCCCATCGGGATTCGTTCAGGTGCACACAAGCTGGTCCAGACACCCATTATTACCAAAAAGAAACTTATATCCAATTGCATAGAGATGGATTATAGTCTCTTCGGGGTCCGTATAGATTTTCCTTGTCCTCGTTGTTATCTTCAGGGCCCCATTGGGATCCGTTCAGGTGCGCACAGGTTGGCCCAGACACCCATTATTAGAAAAAAGAACTTGTAGTCTCCTGAGTGCCACAATAGATTTTCCTACTCTTGGCTGTTATCTTCAGGGTCCCATGGGATTCATTCAATTGTACACAGGCTGGCCAGACACCCACTGTTACAAAAAAAACCTTATATCCGATTGTATGGTGTATGGAATTGGAGGGACTTTTGTCTTCATTTCTATATCTTTTCCGGTATTAGAAATTATGCTTGAAGGCCAAAGCATTCGATAAGTGATCACATGAAGATACGTTATAAGAATGTAATTTTGTGCAGGTATGACTATTCGGGATACGGACAATCCTCCGGGAAGGTGGGCGAATTCGGAAAATTTATAGCTAAAATGTTTTTAATCGATTTAGTGGCCGTAAATGTCATCATCTACAAGTTCATCTGTTTCATGTGGTGCAGCCAAGTGAGAATAACACGTATGCAGATATCGAAGCTGTTTATAAGTGTCTCGAGGAGAGCTACGGAACTAAACAGGAAGATGTCGTTCTTTATGGCCAATCCGTTGGAAGCGGGCCCACTTTGGATCTTGCGGTTCGTCTTCCTCGCTTAAGAGCCGTTGTACTTCATAGTCCTATACTCTCGGGATTAAGAGTCATGTATCCCGTTAAACGCACATACTGGTTTGACATTTATAAGGTATATATATTACATGTTATGCTCGGTTTTGCTCTTTTGCGTGATAATGTCATGTTAAATCTTTTTCGTTTTTGATTCTGCAGAACATTGACAAAATCCCGTTTGTCGATTGTCCTGTGCTTATCATTCATGTAAGTCGTTAAATTCGGTACAACGATCGTTAAGTTCAATTACTAAAGCTTTCGGCTTTGTTTGGCAAACTAGCTATTTGTTAATAAGCTACTTGTACTAACTAGCTGATAAACTAAATGACGATATAAAATAGGCTAAAAAGTAAACAATGAGGGGGTAACATTGGAAAAAAGTGAAAAAATCTCAAGAAGTTATTAGAAGTAGCTTTTTGAAAGCTAGCTTATGGCTTCTCAAATAGGCTTTTTCAATAAGCTTGAAAATTAAGCTAGCTTTTGTTTGCCAAACATGGTTTATAGTAAGTTTGATATTTTTCTGATAAGCAGAAAATGGGATTCATGTACTTCTATATAGTGTGTGTATATACACATATATATAGAGAGAGAGGGGTTAACGGAAAAACCCTAAAAAAAAAATGAAAAACTGAGGAACACCTTAATAACCGTTAATTTGTACGGTATGCACATATGCATATAAGTAATTGAAGTTATTTCCTGGTTTCTATGCATGTGGGCATGTTATGCACATGTGCGTACCGGAAAAATTACGTACAAGTTACTTGTATGCACATGTGCATATTGTATAAATGAATGGTTATTAGGGTGTTCCTCATTTTTTTTTACTTTTTTGCAGTTTTCCCCTGAATCTAACCCTATAGATATAGGGTTGGGTTCCAGTAAGAAGGCAAATTATGGTGAGAAGGGTAAGAAGGGATTTCCACCCTTGTATCAATCCTAATTGAAGTTCAACACTAATGAGATGCAATGAATCAATTCCCTTTTAAAGCGCAATTCATGAAATCATGGGTGAACATGAAATTAAAAGTGATCAAGGATGGATATCTCTTCTTACGGTTCTCACCTTAACTCTTTTTCTTACACCATCCTTCGTTTACATATACATACATATACATACATATATACATACATATATACATACATATATACATATATATATATATATAGAGAGAGAGAGACTTGAGATCATGTGAGACCAGCCTGTTTTCGTAAGACCCGTGAGACCATCTTTTTACACTTGAAACTTCACAGCAAAATGCTGTGAAGGTGACTTTTTTTAACATTCACAGTGTTTTTGCTGTGAAGGTTCGACTTTTTTCTAACCTTCACAGTGTTTTTGCTGTGAAGTTTACGTGTAAAAATGTGGTCTCACGGGTCTCACGAAAACAAGCTGGTCTCACGTGAAACCAACCCTATATATATATATATATATATA